ACTGCTGGGTATATGCCCAAAGGACTGGAAATCACCATGTTGAAGGTATACCTGCACTCCTATGTTTATTGCAGCTCTAATTACAACAGCCAAGAGTTGGAACCAACNAAGATTATGTAGACAAATCATTAGAATTAATATGGCAGATTTCTGGTTACAGAAATATTAAATATCAAAATGCTAGCTAAAAAAAGTTAGAAAAGGATATTTAAAAAGATACGTGAGATTGTTGTAGGGAAAATTACAAAAACTTTATGGAAAAATTATAAAACTTTATTGAAAGACCAACATAAATGGAAAGTATGCTATCTTCATAAATCAAAAGACTGCATAATGTAAAGGTTACATTTCTTCCCAAATTGACCTATAGATTATTGCAGTCCCAATGGAAAAAAATAAAATGACAGTTTTGTGCGTAGGTGGGTATGTAACTTGGCAAGCTGACTCTGAAAGGATTATGGAAGTGTGGGGGACAAGATATTCTTGAAGAAGTAGAACGAGGTGGATGATTTCCCTTACAGACACAGACGAATTCAAAGCTGCAGTAATTAAGACAGTGTGGTATCAGTACAAGAATAGACCAATGGAGCAAGGCCTTAAATGACGGGAAGAGAAGCAATGATATTTTAGGAGGAGGGAAAAAGCACTAAAGACTACATGGAATTTTCATTTCTCCCTTCTTTCCTTTCCCCCACCTTCTTTCTTTCCTTCCTTTCTTCAATCAATCAACTGGTGTTTATTGGGTTCTTACTTATGTGCTGGGCCTTATGCTAGACCCTTGGGATAGAATGGTAAACAAGAAAACGCTGTATTTGTCTCATGGAATATCAGGATAATTGTAAACTGTGAAAAACAGGTTAATTTGATGGGAGAATCCAACTTTAGATAGATAGTGTAGTTGGGGAGGTCCTCTACAAGGAGGAGGCATGTGAGTTGAATCCAGAAGGCTGAGAATCAATGAGCTTAGTGAAGTCTAGTGGAAAAGCATTGCAGGCAAAGGGAATAACTGTACAAAGGTCCAAAGCCAGGAAAAGTTCTGTTCTGTGTGAGGAAGAGGTGAGGCCTCTACGGCTGGAGCAAAGGAGATTGGAAAGTTGGGCAGGGCCTGATTATGCAGAACTTTGTATACCATCATAAGGATTCTGGATTTTACTCTCAGAGCAATGGAAAACCACTAAGAGTCCCTCATAAAAATTTACCACTCTCACATAAGATTCTGATCGTGGGGACACCATGTGTATCTGTGTGTTTGTAGGGAGGGGGTGGTATATGGGAGCTCTCTGCTCAATTTCTCTGAAAATCTAAAACTGTCCTAAAGAATGAAGTTTATTAATTAAAACTATGAAACTAACCTGGGCTGTGTGATTTTTCTCCAGTAGTGCCCACAGCTCAGGTGCAAGGCATAGCACAGGGAAATATCTGGCTGTGCCTTCAGGGTAGGGTTTCACCGAATATAAAAAGGCAAAGGAAAAGGGGAAAGAGGGGAAAGGTGATTGAGTTTGTTTTCAAGAGTGTGTTATATTGATGGACCATGAAATCTGAGCCAAGCCATGAGGGCTGTGGAGTAGACCCCAAGAAAGTGTATGGTTGACGGGCGTGGTTAGGGAATGGTGAGTTGATCCGTATGTTAAGATCACGAAGGTGGGGTCAGCACCTGGAGAATTCTCAAGGTTGAGGTTATAAAGTAAACCTGCCCATTTCGGTTTTTTTTTTTTTGTGTGTGTGTGTGTGTGTGGGTGGGGTCAGCACCTGGAGAATTCTCAAGGTTGAGGTTATAAAGTAAACCTGCCCATTTCGTTTTTTTGTGTGTGTGTATTTTTTCGTGACCGGCAACGGATTGCAACCCTCAGTGTCGCGCCTGTACCGGACCGGGACCGGCAACGGGATCGCAACCCTCGTTGTTGCCCCCGCTCCCCGCTCAGCCAGTGAGCGGCCGGTCTGTATGTGGGATCCGAACCCTCGGCGGGAGCGCCTCCACGCTTCCCAAGCGGCGCACTGTAGCAGTGCACCACCGGGCCAGCCCCCCATTTCGTTTTTTTGGGGGGACTTCAGACTTTGTCAAATCAGAACAAAAGTAGCACACAGACCTTAAAACAACAAGCTTCTGTTTCCCCAAGTGTACCAAATATGTTCATATTTTATTAAAAAGCTAGCTGTGATCCCCTACCCTGAGGGCATAGGAGATATGGAATCTGTTTCCTCAGTGATTGTGCAGGGAGGGACGTCTTCCACTGACTATTAGCTTAAGTGCCTGCCTCTTGTCATCACTTTCTAGATACTTTGAGAAATCTGTCTTTCTAAAAATGTGACTTAATTCTAATCTTCTAAAACTTCCAGGTTATAGATAGTCTTGCAGGCCCACTCTGCCCTTCTCCCCCCTGAGATGGCAAGGGCACCATCAGCTTAGGCAGATGGCATCAGCCACTGGTTCCTGGCACAAATGCCTCCCAGGACAATATCTTTGGCCATTAGAGTGTTTTTTAAAAAACTGAATTAGGGCCGGCCCGGTGGCGCACTGCTACAGTGCGCCGCTTGGCGCCAAGGGTTCGGATCCCACATACAGACCGGTTCCCGCTCACTGGCTGAGCGAGGTGCGGGAGCAACACCGAGGGTTGCGATCCCGTTGCCAGTCCCGGTCCGGTACGGGCACGACACTGAGGGTTGCGATCCGTTGCCGGACATGGAAAAAGACAAAAAAGGAAAAAAAACAAAACAAAACTGAATTAGCAGTCAATAGTAAAAATATGGATTTCTGAGCTTTTTCGTGTGAAAAGTAGAAACTGACAATAATGGACAGGCCACCTCTTTGGCATAAGTCGTATTGATTTCCATGTGAATACCCCTCCCTGGACATGTGCAGTGTGTTGGGTCTGNTCCGGTACGGGCACGACACTGAGGGTTGCGATCCGTTGCCGGTCACGGAAAAAGACAAAAAAGGAAAAAAAAAAAAAAAAAACTGAATTAGCAGTCAATAGTAAAAATATGGATTTCTGAGTTTTTTCGTGTGAAAAGTAGAAACTGACAATAATGGACAGGCCACCTCTTTGGCATAAGTCGTATTGATTTCCATGTGAATACCCCTCCCTGGACATGTGCAGTGTGTTGGGTCTGCCTGGTGGGGAGTGAGACATCTCTGCCTATTTACCTGAGGCAAAAACCCATTCCTTGGCCAGCTGTATTTTGTTGCTTGTAGGCATTTGAGTTTGCCACTCCTAGTTCAGGTAAACAAGTCCAGGGACTCAGTGCTTTCTCACTGGCCCCATGATAGGATCCCAAGCGGACTTTCTGTCCTAGTTTCTCACTGCTTTCTACCTCTGGATGCCTAACATTCATCAGAACAGTCCAGTTGGCATTTGGTGGGATTGCTGGACACTTTCCCCTTCATTTTGTCACCTCTCTCTGAAGCTAGACACTGGGCTCCCAGTTGGCACAGAGAGAACACTGAGAACACGGAGCCCATGCTAATAGGCCATGACATTTCTTCAGGCCTCTTGCCTACTTCCAAGAGTCAGTGAGATGCCAAGCTTCCTCCAGATGGCTCAGGGACTCTGGAGGACTCAGTGACCCCAGACTCTCCTCCTGGGAATCTGACAGACTTGGCTGACAAATGTGGCTGTGCTGAGAGTGAGTGCCCTGCAGGCATTGGGGCGTGAGTGACTTGAGTAGGGGAGCTTCTCCTGTAGAGAGCATCCTGGAGCTGAGTTTGGAGAAGAGCCAGCATGTGAGGATAATAGGAGGCAGTTTTGGGGGTGCCTGATGCATTGGGGCTGTGATTTAGGGCACCAGAGAATCAGAGAATGACCTCAAGGGGGGGAAGGAGCTGGGTCTCTAAGGTTAGACAACCTGGATTTGAGATCCCGGTCTGCTGTTTGGTTGCTCAGTCAGCAGCTGGGAGAATCTGAGTCATCATTTAACCATTCTGTGTCTCAATTTTCCTCATCTACACATAGGGACATTAAAAGCAACTGTTGGGGTTGTTGTGAGTATAAAATGAGGTGTGTTATGTCAAGGGTTTATTACTATGCCTGACACACTGTAAGTGCTCAGTAGATAGCAGCTGCTATATTTTTTGTTCTTATTGTTATTTGATAAGAGAACTGAACAATGCTTGAAAGTCTCTTCGTGCAGATGAGGGGACTAAGGCCTAGAGAGGAGAAGACATGTCCCCACTTTGAGTCAGTGAAAATTTGGGACCAGAAAGCCGAGTCTCCAGGCTCCCAGGAGCCATGCCCTGTGTCCCTCCAACAAGGATAGGAGAGGAAGGG